CCCTTTCAAATGGGAAAAACATAACATACCCTATTTGGGGATCAAACTGACTGCCAAAACAGGCCAACTCTATACAGCTAACTTCAAACCATTACTTGACACAATCCCACAAGAGCTCAGAAGCTTCCGCACAAATACCCTTTCAACACTAGGCAGAACAGCAACTATAAAAATGTGCATATTGCCCAAAATACTTCATATTTTTCGAACGCTTCCTATTCCAGCCCCCTCCACCTTTTTCTCCAAACTTCAAAAAATCCTAAACAATTTTTTATGGAATTCCAAACGCCCTAGATGTACTACAAACCTCTTAATACGTCCGCCTGCCAGAGGGGGAGCAGGTCTCCCGCATATAAAATCGTACTAACAAGCCGTTCTATTAGACCAGCTCTTCTTCTGGTGGCACCCGTCCCCGGATAAAACTTGGACAGTCATGGAGGCATCCATGCACACACCAAGTTCACTAACAGATGCCTTATTTGTGCCTCGTGTGGCCTGGAATAAACCTCTACATACACACCCATGCGTGCAAGCTTCCCTGACGGCTTGGCATGACTTCTTAACTTATACTTGCTCCAATAAGGATAATCTTCGAATTCTTACACCGCTTTCATCCTTACATTTTGTATCCCCGCATCTGAACCTGGCCTCATGGAAAGTGCTTGGAATATATCATATCCAAGACCTTTTTAGCACCCACAACCCAGATACATTTCTGACTCTCCAGAAGAAATTTAGTCTTCCTGATAAAGACCAATTCACCTATATGCGAATAATCCATTCACTTCACAAAACAAACATACCACTTAAAATAGAAATACCAGCTACTGCACATCACTTCCTGAATAGGACCATATATCCGAAGAAAGGAATATCTACTTTTTATACACTTCTGACCGTAGCGCAATTCACAACTTCTACTTCATCCTTGACTAATTGGGAAAAGACCTTAACACTCTCGACAAGCCCACATCCCTGGGAAACAACGTTCAAAATTACTTATAAAGCGTCGAAATGTAGTGCCCATTGGGAATCATACCTGAAAATCCTCCACCAATGGTATCTTACCCCCACTAAACTATCTCTCTATTACCCTCAACAGTCCCAGGCGTGCTGGAGACATTGTGGAGAAACTGGCTCCCTCTTCCATGTGCTTTGGTCATGCAAATCTCTCAAATCTTACTGGAATAAAGTCTTCCAATTGATCTCTTCAATCACAGACACACCTGTAGCTCCAGATCCTGCCCTGGCCCTCTTTCATATAACTATAGATAAATTCCCCTCAAACACACGCATCATTATCTTACACATCCTAGCGGCGGCAAAGATCAACATCACCAAACTCTGGCGATCCACATCATCTCCTTTGCTTTCACATCTGGTGAATGACCTCAACCTGCAGTGTGAGATGGAGCGAAGAACGGCCATTCGAAACTCTATGTACCACAAATTTACGTTACACTGGTCTCGATGGCTAAATCATCCCAACTGTTCAATTAACTGATTACTAATTTCAATTTTTTTTCATAGGATACTTACTTCTAAGATAAAGATAACGGTGCCTCATCCCCCTCCTCCCCCCTTTCCCTATTTCTTTCCAATCCCTGTTTAAATTTCTATTCCAATCTATATCCACCTTTAAGATCCTGTTACCCCAACATGGTTCACATATTAATGAGCATACCTCTCATGTACATATGACTACGATTATTCCGTTCCCCGGCCGCATGGTGGGGACTTGCTACATCTTCATCCTCTTTACATGTTCTCAATTTACATATGTGTACCTTTCTACTCTAATGGTTATATATTTGTTCTGATGTTAAAAATCTTTTCAATAAAAATATTTGAAAATAAAAATTCACATATATTACTTCTGAATCTTGTAAAAGCATCTTGTTTAATCTCCACATAGTTGTTTTATACCACTTCCCTCCCACTAGTAATCTCATTGTGACAGGTGCATTGGTCAGATATAGACATTACTTCTATGTTGGATTTTTCCATAGACTCCAAGGCCCTGATTTACTATTGTGCCTGGGCGCATTTCCGTGGGCGAACGTCTAATTTTTATGAGCGACCGTCTACTTTTACCCCGCAATGAGATTTACTATTGAGCAGCGTCCATAAGTAGATGCCCAATCAAATTTACTAACGAGACGCACGCCCGGAATCAGACTCACAAAGCAGACTTGCTAAGAGGCTTGTCTAACACCATGAAAAATCGCTGCAGAGACATGTTCACTTTCAAATTTGCTTTGCCAAATATCAGGACTTCACTTTAAACAATATCTGCCATTTCAAAAAAAATTAAGAATGTGTTAAAAATAGTTTTTTTTAAAGCAAATTAACACAGTAAAAAACTAGACGCCCGTGCAGTGTCTTTGGACGATATAAATGCGCATGTGCAGAACACATTTTAGACGTCCTCTGTGGGCGCTTGCTTTTTAGCCACTGCTCAATAGTAAATCTCAGTGTGGATTCCTCTGACAGCCGCCACTCTGTTGCGTCTACTGTGTTTAACAAACAGCACTAGGCATATCTTTATGTATTCTAATTTGATTTCCTTAGTTCTAGTGATTCTATTTTTGTTTCTTATCCTTTATAATTATTTCTGTAATGATTTTACTTATTTCGAAGGTCTAGATAATATTTATTTTGACAGCTGAATGTAAAAATAAAGGTCCGCAATAAAAAAAAAAACAAAAAAAACAGCGTGGGTTCCCCCCCCTCATCCATACTAAGCCCTTCAGGTCTGGTATGGATATTAAAGGGGAACTCCACGCCAAAATTAAAAAAAAAAAAAACAGCGTGGGAACCCCTTCAATATCCATACCAGACCCTTATCCGAGCATGCAGCCCGGCAGGTCAGGAAAGGGGGGGGGGGATGAGTCCCCCCCTCCTGAACCATACCAGGCCACATGCCCTCAACATGGGGGGGTGCTTTGGGGCAGGGGGGCTCCCCCCCAAAGCACCTTGTCCCCATGTTGATGGGAACAAGGGCCTCTTCCCCACAACCCTGGCCGGTGGTTGTGAGGTTCTGCGGGTGGGGGGCTTATCAGAATCTGGAAGCCCCCTTTAACAAGGGGGCCGCCAGATCCCGCCCCCCCCCCCCCCCCCCACGTGAATGAGTCTGCGGTACATGGTCCCGCGACTCATTCACAAAAAAAACAAAGTGTGGTGTAAAAAAACACAGTACAGGGTCTTCAATAAGTCCTTTATTAAAACAATGTCCCCCAAAGTAGATCCAACAGGCAGAAACAGGAACAGGAACACAGGATACAAGATACAGGGGCCCATGGAAAAACACCCACCAAGGCCCTGACTGTGAGTCTGGCCATTCCTTAAATACAACCCCTGCAATCAGCTTCAGGTGTTTGGCTGACTGCAGGGGAGAGTCTCTGATTGCTGAGAGCACCCGCTGGCCAGCCCTGGTACTGCAGCCCACAAGGCAGGTGAGTCCCACCATTATTGGCAAGTCCATTCCTGACAGTACCCCCCCTCAAGGAGCGGCCTCAGGACGCTCCAAACAGTCCTAGCTGGGCAAAATATTCCACCGCCCGGGTCCGGTAACTGGCGGGATATCAAAGACTGGCACATCGGGCGGGGCGCCGGACAGAGGCACATCGGGCTGGACGCCGGACAGAGGCACATCGGGCTGGACGCTGGACAGAGGCACATCGGGCTGGACGCCGGATAGAGGCACATCGGGCTGGACGCCGGACAGAGGCACATCGGGCTGGATGCCGGACAGAGGCACATCGGGCTGGACGCCGGACAGAGACACATCGGGCTGGACACCGGATCACCGGGGCGGAGCAGCGGGCACCGGGCCACCAGGCGGAGCAGCGGGCACCGGGCCACCAGGCGGAGCAGCGGGCACCGGGCCACCAGGCAGGGCGGCAGGCACTGGGCCACCAGGCAGGGCGGCAGGCACCGGGCCACCAGGCAGGGCGACAGGCACCGGGCCACCAGGCAGGGCGGCAGGCACCGGGCCACCAGGAAGGGGCGGCGGGCACCGGGCCACCAGGCGGAGCGGCGGGCACTGGGCCCCCAGGTGGAGTGGCAGGCACCGGGCCACCAGGCCAGGTGGCAGGCACCGGGCCCCCAGGCGGAGCGGCAGGCATCGGGCCCCCAGGCGGAGCGGTGGGCACTCAGTCATCTGGCAAGACCACGGGCACCGAGTCATCTGGCAAGACCGCGGGCACCAAGTCATCTGGCAAGACCGCGGGCCCCGAGTCATCAGGCACGACAGCGAGCTTTGAGTCAACCGGCACGACAGCGGGCTCCGAGTCAACTGGCACGACAGCGGGCACCGGGTCATCAGGTACCGGATCGTCTGGCTCGACAGCGGGCATCGGGTCACCAGGTACGACAGCAGGCACCGGGTCATCAGACATTGGATCGTCTTGCTCGACAGCGGGCACCAGGTCATCTGGCTCAACAGCGGGCATCGGGTCACCAGGTACGACAGCGGGCACTGGGTCATCAGGCATCGGGTCATCTGGCTCGACAGTGGGCATCGGGTCATCAGGCACGACAGCGGGCATCGGGTCACCAGGCATGACAGCGGGCACTGGGTCATCAGGCATTGGATCGTCTAGCTCGACAGTGGGCATCGGGTCACCAGGTATGACAGCGGGCACTGGGTCATCAGGCATTGGATCGTCTGGCTCGACAGCGGGCATCTAGTCATCAAACATGACAGCGGGCATTGGGTCACCAGGCATGACAGCGGGTACTGGGTCATCAGGCATTGGATCGTCTGGCTCGATAGCGGGCATCGGGTAACCAGGCATCAGGTCATCTGGCTCGACAGCAGGCACCGAGTCATCTGGCAAGGCAGTGGGCACCGAGTCACCAGGCACGACAGCGGGCTCTGAGTCAACTGGCATGAAAGCAGGCACCGGGTCATCAGGTACCGGATCGTCTGGCTCGACAGCGGGCACCGGGTCATCTGGCTCGACAGCGGGCATCAGGTCACCAGGCATCAGGTCATCTGGCTCGACAGCGGGCACCGAGTCATCTGGCAAGGCAGTGGGCACCGAGCTACCAGGCACGACAGCGGGCTCTGAGTCAACTGGCACAACAGCGGGCATCGGGTCATCAGGCATCAGGTCATCTGGCTCGACAGTGGGCACTGAGTCATCTGGCAAGGCAGTGGGCACCGAGTCACCAGGCATAACAGCTGGCTCTGAGTCAACTGGCGCGACAGCGGGCATCGGGTCACCAGGTATGACAGTGGGCACTGGGTCATCAGGCATTGAATCGCCTGGCTCGACAGCGGGCATCAAGTCATCAGGCACGACAGCGGGCATCGGGTCACCAGGCATTGGATTGTCTGGCTCGACAGCGAGCACCGGGTCATCTGGCTCGACAGCGGGCATCGGGTCACCAGGTATGACAGTGGGCACCGGGTCATCAGGCATTGGAACGTCTTGCTCGACAACGGGCACCGGGATACCAGGCTGCGCCACAGAAGGCTGGTTCTCAGATGGCAGACTGACCGATTTGGATACTGGCAGGATGGTATTGGTTGGAAAGAATTTTTGCTTTTTTCTGGTTTTAGTTACTGGAGCACTGTAAGTAAACTCCGGTCTGTAAACAAATGGAGCAGCTAAAGACAGAGAAGAGCTGGAGGATGGAACAGAGGAGGGAGCAGTTGCTACAGAGGACTTCTTTACAGGGTTAAAGAAAGGATAGGTGCAGCGAGTGGGAGCAGGGGACTGGTATGTGGTAGCTAGCAGAGTATACTGGGCTGTCACTAGGGGTGCTGTCAGGGATGCAGGAAGGGTGCCTTGAGCAGAGGAATGATGTTGCAAGCTGACTGAGGCTGGGTGCAACAAATCTGTCCATGTCTGCACTACTGGTTGAACAAAACTCAGCTTACACATAGCCTGTCTGATCAAAGACTGCATTGTGTTTATGCAATCCATAAGCACATGTGATGGACAAGCTGCATAGTGCTTATGGAAGCAATCTGGATCATCCTCCAACAACCATACCAGTGATTCCACTTGATCCACACTAAATGGTGGAAAAAAGTAATTCCTGCTTTCAGGGGTATAGGACCGAGCCAACTCAGCACAAACCTGGAACAATGGCTGCACCTCAGAAAACTCTGTGCCCTGATCTACTAGGCAATGAGCGATCCTTATACACTCTAGTAGTTGATCCTTGGGATACTCCTTCAGAGTCTGATAAGCATAGTCTTTGTCATCAAACACTAGCAGAGATAAATACACCACCTCATCCTTCCCAGCAACATTAAGCCAAGATGGCTTCCCTGTGCAGCCACTTCTGGTCAGGATTGGCCTTGGTGTAATGTCAGGGCTCCAGGTATGACCAGAGGGGTGTGGACTGACACAGGGAAACGCAGGCTTCAGATATGGTATAAACAATATGATTTATTAAGACTAACAATACAAAACGCAGTGCAAAACTAAACATAAACACAGTGCAAACAAACCAAACCAAACCACCTACAGATAACAATATATACAATGCAAGAGTCGTCAGGCAGGCCGGGTCAGTAGCAAACGGGCAAACGGAGTACCAGGAACAGGCGGGAGAGTGGTCGGGGTCACAAGCTGGGTTCAGTAACTCACGGGCAGCGCGGTGCAGAGGGTCAGGCAGAGAATGGTCAGGGTCACAAACCAGGGATCAAGCAGGAGAAGTCAGCAGAGGTCAGGATCAGGCAGGGTCGGCAACAAGTCAGGCAGAAACAGGAACAGATACAGGAACACAGGATACAAGATACAGGGGCCCATGGAAAAACACACACACCAAGGCCCTGACTGTGAGTCTGGCCATTCCTTAAATACAACCCCTGCAATCAGCTTCAGGTGTTTGGCTAACTGCAGGGGTGAGTCTCTGATTGCTGAGAGCACCCACTGGCCAGCCCTGGTACTGCAGCCCACAAGGCAGGTGAGTCCCCCACCATTATTGGCAAGTCCATTCCTGACAGTAGGAAAGAAATGGCCGATACGGGGCAGGTATAATGTCCTGATTAAGTAAATGGGTTAGGAAGGAGGGAATTCTGATGAAGACAGAGAAAAAAAATGTTTTCTTCTTTTTTCTAGAAAACAGCGGGATGTCAGGGGGCAAAACATGCTGCTGAATTCTTGACCCCAAAGATGAGAGATAGGGGTCCAAATGAATGTATGTGTTTTGAACTCCAAGCTGAAATAGGAATTGGGAGTGGTAATAAACCATAACAGATTCCAGGGCTAGAAGGGGTTTTAAAGTGTAGGGAGGGTAGGGGCAATGGGGGAGGATGGTCTTGCACCAGCTTGGTCCACCCAGGATGCCGGTGGAAGAAGGGGAAGGGACTGCCAACATGCCCTGGACACAGCTTCCACTTTATAGGCACCTGTCCATGGCATGACAGGCATTCTTTGGAGAGCTCTTGGAGGTATTTAAGCTCTGCTCTGATCTATCTTTGGGATTCTGAGAGACACAGCCATGTATTTTACTGCAGGCAATAAGAGGTAAGATTAGACTGGCTTCTACTTTTTAGTAATGTGCTTTTGAGAGGCATGTTGGCATGTTGGTGGAATAATGGATGGTGATTGAGTTTGGACATTGATATACTGACATCTTTTATTTCTTGTTTATATTCAGACCCATATACAATTTTATATTTGGGCCAAACAACTTTGGATACAGTTAAAGAGGAATATTATTACTTTTTTTAAATCATAATCATCAATTTTCAATGGGTGAGTTTTCTAAGTGAGGGGTCTATGTGGGACCAATTATTTATATGCCTTTACATGCACATGAACTTTAATGGCATCCCAGTATTAGTCAATAAGGTTCAATATTGAGTTGGCCCACCCTTTGTAGCTATAATAGTTTCAACTATTCTGGAAAGGCTGTCCACAAGATTTAGGAGTGTGTCTATGGGAAAGGTTGATCAGTCTTCTAGAAGCACATTTGTGTAGGATGAGAAGACCTGACTTGCAGTCTCCTCTCTAATTCATCCCAAAGGTGTTCTATCAAGTTGAGGACAGACTTTGTGCAGGCCAGTCAAGTTCCTCCCCAAATTTGCTCATCCATATCTTTATGGACCTTGCTTTGTGCACTGGTATGCAGCCATGTTGGAACAGGAAGAAGTCATCTCCAAACCGTTCAGATCAAAGTTGAGAGCATGAAATTGTCCAAAATGTTCTGGTATGCTGACGCCTTAAGAGTTCTCTTCACTGGAACTAAGGGGCCAAGCCCAACCCCTGAAAAACAACCCCAAGCCATAATCTCCCCTCCACCAAACTTTACACTTGGCACAATGCAGTCAGGCTAGTAACATTCTCCTGGCAACCGCCAAACCCAGACACGTTCAGCAGATTGATAGACAAAGAAGCATGATTCTTCACTCCAGAGAACATGTCTTCACTGCTCTAGAGTCCAGTGGTCACATGCTTTACACCACTGCATCCAACGCTTTGCATTGCACTTGGTGATGTAAGGCTTGGATGCAACTGCTTGGCCATGGAAACCCATTCCATGAAGCTCTCTATGCACTGTTGTTGCGCTAATCTGAAGACCACATGAAGTTTGGTGGTCTTTAGCTACTGACTCTGCAGACAGTTGGTGACTTCTGCACACTGTGTGCTTCAGCATGCACTGACCCCACTCTGTCATTTTAAGCGGCCTTTCACTTGGTGGCTGAGATGCTGTTGTTCTCAGTTGCTTCAACTTGGTTATAATACCATTAACAGTTGACCGTGGAATAATTAGTAGCAAGGAAATTTCATGGACCTTTTGCACAGGTGGCAACCTATCATGGTACCACTCGTGAACTCGCTGAGCTCTTAAGAGCGACCCATTCTTTCACAAATGTTTGTAGAAGCAGTCTGCATGCCTAGGTGCTTGGTGACCTGTGGTCATGGAGGTGATTGGAACACCTAAATCCAAAGATTTGGAGGGGTGTCCCGATACTTTTGGCAATATAGTGTGTGTGTGTGTGTGTGTGTGTATATATATATATATATATATATATAGTGTTTTTTTTGTTAGATTTTGGTGTTAAACATTCATGGTTGTTTTGGAGCATCCACATTGTCTTGTTTTACTTAGATCTAGGCTGGGATAACATCTGAGGTCTGCGCTCAAATATATTGAATCGGTTACCAACTGGATTTATAAATTACCATATTTATTGATATTAGGATTAACCCACTAATATGCTATAGGTGAGATCATATACCCTTTTAGCTATGTGATATCATGATATTGGATGCTTGTAAGGCAATAGGGAGTTTGCTAATAATATTTTTGGAATTGTTTACCTATAGGAATCTCTACCATGGGCCAAAAGGTGCATTTACTGAGCACAACTGCAAAGACATACAATCTCTCTAGCCTTTTTTCCCTCAGTTTACTTATTGCGGATAAGAAATTATTATTAATGATATGGTTTATTTTTCACATATATGGGGTATTTTTGATGCTGTATGTACTAATTGAAAATACAATTTGTATTTAATAGTTATGTCTTATTTTCTCATTGTTTCAAAATTTGATTTTATATGATTGTATAACCTTCACAATCCTTTAAACCACTCATATTCCTTTTTGGTCCTGAGGAAGTGGTGGAAGCATAGACTAATTAACAAGGATATGCAGCAAATACAATGGTGGTTGTGCTTTAATGTACCTTGGTAGTCAATTTACTATTTTATATGATCTGCACTCTTCACCTTACCATGTATATTCAATATTTATTTTTACCACACAATTTTAGAAAAATGAAAATAATACAACACAAAGTTGTCGCTTAAATGATAAAAATGATGATAAATGATATAAAACTCATTGGGTGTCTACTTTCCAAAAAGGGGTCATTTAGGGGTGGGGCAAGATGAGAAAATTATGCACCTTCAGGCTGTCATTTCAGGGGTCATTGGATGTTGGGCTCCTGTATGCATCTAGGCTACCAAAAAGTCTCACACATGTAGTATCCCCATACTCAAGAGAAGTAGCAGAATGTATTTTGGGGTGTAATTCCACATATACCCATGGCATATGTGAGCAATATATCATTTAATTGTCAACTTTGTATAACATTTTTTTTTTTTTTTTTTGCTGTGATATCATCGCATAACCGGAAGTCGCTGAAGGCCATCTTGCTTACTGACCGGAAGTGTTTGTCTATATGCACAATTGTGATTCGGTACATGTGAGTGTTTTACCATTTTAAAAATACTTGAAGAAATGTTTTACACTATGTTGGATTCTCTGTTTTTATTTCATATACCAATTTGATGGATGGATAAGTATTTGTGAATGTCCCAGCTCAAAAATACCCACCAATCCAAGTATAACTTGCAAGGGATACCCTAGAGGGGGCCTGCAAGGGATTTATATACCAAAGCATTCCATGACCTTTCTTTAACCAGAGGGTCATGGTTATCTGGTAAGCGTGTATGGTGTCATTCAGTGGAGGCCCTTTCTCATTTCCCCAGGATATCTTCTCTGCAATCATTTCTACCTTGGATGTGGTTATAGTTTCTTCCTTTTGGTTACTGGACAATTATACTTTTTCACATATTGAACATTTGTCTTGCAGGGACTATTTATCTATGATTTTGTGATTTTCTTTCATGATATTTTGTATTTATTTATGTGTTTTTGGTTATAGCGCAGCACATTTTGTTTTCCACATATTTCACTATGCCAATATCTCATAGTATGTCTGCAGCTTTTTCCTGTTAATATTCTTGTACAGACTAGCGCAGTGCACAGTTTGATTAACACATACAACAAATCACTTTAAAGCAATATTTGATTGTTTAAAAATTGTTTTCATAAAAGTGGTAAATTTTGCATACAATTCTGTTACAAATAATAAAAACATACAGTATAATTACCATCTTATGTCTGAATTAAATAGCTCTTGTTACTATTAACTTCCCTGGTGGTCTGATTATGTCAATATTTTTGAATGTCAAAGCGGTACATTGTTTTGCATGGAAATTTGTTGTTTTATATTCTAGGCCTGTAATTCTTAGGAATAACTCACTTAAATATGTCCAAATAAGAGTCTAGTAAACATCTTGGGTATGATAAAGTTTGAAACACGAAATCATAAATTATAATATAATAAATAATTATAAAAACTAATATAATAATAATAATACATTAAATTCAATAATGTAATCAAACAAAAAACACAGAAATTTGAAACAGAGCACCAAGTTCGCACATCGCTGGGCTCAGTTGCAGAATCGTTTTCAGTGTCTGATGACGAATTTCTCCCACGAATCACTATCGCAATTCTGCAAGTGATTCTAATTCACTATTGCTGTTTTCTAGCTGTTCTAAAACCGATTTTGACCTAAAGGGATGCTTTTTGAATGCCACGAATGTTTTCAAGTTTCCAGGCAGAAAGAACTGTAAAAGTACAGGCAGGGCACTGGACAAAGCACTAGGGACAAAACTGAGGTGAAATGGTTTGATACAGTAATGTAATCCTAACAGATTACAATGTATTGTGTGTATGTCATGTTTTACTTTTTTGAATATCCTGCCGGTTCAGCCCCCCTGCATCATGACGCTCGCAGGAAATGGAACCCTGAAGACAAAAGCTGGCATCAGCCGGAGGACATGGCTGGAGGACACAGCGGGAGGACATTAGGGGATCGCAGAACAAGGTAAGTTACAGTACAGTGTAATCCCGAGTGTGGCTCAGGGTTACCTCTTTAACCCCGAGCCACACGCTGGATTACCACCAGGGAGGTTAAGCATGGGTTGAATGTAGGGGATGCATAATATTTGTGGGTAAGGCTGCTGTGTATTTAAAGATTCATTTAAAAGACCTTAATATTTCAATAATGGTAGTGGAAACCTATGGAAGACAACGTTTAATAGGAATTATTTTCCAATACATATGTAGAAAATAACACCATGGAAGACTACTTTAATTTGATTTATTTTCCAATACGTAAGGCTGATGTGTATTTAAAGATTCATTTAAAAGACCTTAATATTTCAATAAT